ATACTTTTCTCAAAATGACCTCACTTTTACTGACTGGAGAATGGTATTAGAAAACCCAGAAGTGTTCATTGCCATTGGAGTATGTTCATGTTTAAAGAAATACTCACTCTGCCTAAGATGAAGTGAGACATGCATTTATGTCCTCCTACTACATATCCAAATTTATCTATAATTGTTAGATGTCCTGGCTTGCAGCTGTGGACATTTCCTTGTTTCACTAACAAGGTTTCATGATTAATTTTATTCTTGTCAGTGGGATTTCTTGTAGAATTCTCTTTTCTCAAGCTTCATCTATGTGAAACTTGGGACACTGTAAGAAATGTAGCCTTTTAACTGCAGTATGTGTATGAATATATCAAGAAACCTCAAATTTAATGAGAAATATAGAGAAAAGTTGGAATGTCTGTATCTCATATGCTTCGTTTTACTACAAAAATCTACCTGCCTTATCTTTGGAATGAGAAAGCATTTTTATAGTACATGAATCCCCTCCTAACAATTGTTTGATGACTGGTGAAATAAATGAAAAGTTTTCTAGAATATATAACTTAACCCTAAGTAAGGCTTGGTCATTTGGGGGATCAATCTCCTACTGATTGTGCATGTTCTGGTTCCAAACTCAGCGCCAAATGGTCTAAGTCTTTACTGCAGGCTTTTAATGAGGATCTATCTGCTTATTTATATAAATTTAGGCATAGAGTCAATTCTGGGTATGTGAAGGCCCCAAGGATATAAATTGAACTATGTGGGCCAAAGAGCATTTCTGACTGCTCATCAAAGAATATAAATTGAACTATGTGGGCCAAAGAGCATTTCTGACTGCTCATCAAGGAATCCCCTTCAGGCTTTGGAGGATATCCTGGTTCCTAAAGATAGATACTCAAGGTAAGGGTTTGTTCTATTCATAGTGAAAGACTTGCCTCAGGGACGAACTCAGCTTAACTAGGCCCTTCCCTTGTATGAATTGGTGTCTCTTGAAAAGCCCTGAAGTTAGAAAGTTCCGCTAGGTAAATGGGAGTATAGAGGGAAAGATACTTAAAAATGAAAGTCTGCCCAGGATATTGACCCCGGCATTGTCATTTTAGATTGGATGCTTTAAGAGTTGGCATAAGCATCTCTGTGCTTCTGTTTTGCTCTTCCACGATGACTGAGATTGTCCACAGAGGAGTCGTGTGTGTGTGTGTGTGTGTGTGTGTGTGTGTGTGTGTGTGTGTGTGTGTGTGTGTGTTGAGTTTCAGCTCATGAGAAACATGTAGGTACTCTGAGTATAGCTAAGGAACCTTAATAAAGGCCTTCAACTCTTGAAGAGAAGTCATAACAGCCTGTACCTACTGAAATCTCCACACACTCTGAATTTGACTGTATCTTTACAGAGTGCAGTTCTATATTCTTCCTTCCTGAATCACTAATTCACCAATTCAACCCTCATCTTTTTTTTTTTCTCCTTGCATGGAATACTTTCTACTTCCACCTCAATCTTTTTATTTATTTACCTCCCATAAATAGTGTGACAATTCTTCACCAAAGCTCTGCCTCGGAGGCCCTGAAAAAAGTGTAAGTAGATATGGTCACTCTTAATACAGATGCCAAAGCTTTTTAATACAACTCATCTGTGAGCATGGCACACAGAATTTGGGTCATTGGACACCAGAAGGAATAGAATGTTGCCTGCCTGCTGCTGCTCTGGTTGTTGCTGACTGACAAAGAGCAGGGCGAAATCTTCCCTGAAGTTGTCTCTCCATGATGCACCACTATTAGAGAGCCATGGACTATTCTAGCTGTGGGAATGCCTATGATATTCAGAGGTCACCCTCCACTCAGAGTGCAGTTTGGGCCCTGCTACCTCCAAGTGTTGCATCCTGGGAAAGGAGATGGCTTCCTAACATCTCTTGAAAAAGACTCCCCAGGCAACCTTGGATTTGCCCTATTACACCTTCTATTGTTCTTGAAATTGAGGAGTTAGGAGAAGAAAGGACATAGCTTGTATTTTCCCTGGATTTATTTCTTGGTAAAGACATTATACATATGAATCACTAACTCAGTTTACTCAACTTTTTGTTGTTGTTGTTTCCAGTAGCCTGTGGGACACTATATTAAAATATTTCTATCAGTAGCAATGGCAGGGAATCTTTTCCAGACTGAAATGGGTAGAGGGCAAATAGGGCTCTCCTCAAGAATATCTATTAAGTTTTCTTTCATTTTTTTTTCTTTTTTGAGTCAGAGGTCTCACTCTGTCATCCAGACTAGAGTACAGTGGCATGATCACAGCTCACCACAGCCTCAACTCCTTGGGATTGGGTGATCCTTTCATCTCAGCCTCCCAAGTAGCTGGGACTACAGGCGTGCACCACCATGCTTGTTTTTTTAAAAAATTTTGTAGAGATGAAGTCTTGCTATGTTGCCCAGCCTGGTCTTGAACTCCTGGGCTCAAGTTTCCTTCCTTGGCCTCCCAAAGTGCTGGGATTACAGGCATGAGCCATTGAGCCCAGTCTCATCTATTAAAATTTCTGAAGTAGGCCAGGCACACTGGCTCACGCCTGTGTGATTCCAGCACTTTGGGAGGTGGAGGCAAGAGGACTGCCTGAGCTCATAGGTTTGAGACCAGCCTGGGCAATTTGGCAAGCTCTTGTCTCTACATTAAACGAAAAAATTAGTCAGGCATAGTGGCTCATGCCTGTAGTTCCAGCTACTTGGAAGGCTGAGGTGGAAGGATCACCTGAGCCTGGGAGGTTGAGGCTGTGGTGACTATGCACATGCCACTGCACTCCAGCCTGGGTGACAGAGTGAGACTCTGACTCAAAAAATAAAATAAAAAGTAAAAATTCTGAAGTAGAGGTAGGCATAGTTTTCAAAATCCCCAGGTGATTTTGATGTGCACACTTTCCCAGCTCTTCATTGTCATTTTAGGCTCACTTTGACATTTCTTGTATTACTCTAATGAGTAAAATTAGAATAACGAGTATTTTACAAAAGTTTTTTTAACCTGCATTCCAATTTGGAGGGGAGGAGTAGTTATTTGACCTATCCCCCATCCCTTGCCAATTTTGTTTTTGAATAAACATGCACATATTTTATTTTGTAAAGAATACAAATTCAGTTATTTTTAAAAGTACTACCTACAAAAAATATATAATGAAGATACCAGTGTGTGATGTGGCCACAACTATACACATTTATACATTAGTGAGCTATTAAATTGTAGGTTCCTAAACAACACAGTGCAATTTGCAAAAACTGTAGTAGTAATTATGCTCATTGATTGTATTACAAGAAAGATTTTTGAGTAAAAGCAGCACTGTTATAGAGAAAGACGAATTACATTGTTCTCTGCTTAGAAGGCTTCCATGCTACATTAAACCTGATACCAGGCTTAAGGGAATTGCATCATTTGAGAGAAAAAACAAAATAGGTAAACCCTGAAAATTACCACCTTCTTTTTGTTTTTCCTTCATTGCCATTTTTTTCTGGGAACAATGATAGAGTATTTCTCAGAGTTTCATTTCTGGTATATGACTCTAGGCCAGGCCATAAGCTCCTCTTAGCTTCATCCAATGCCTGGAAATCCATGGGTCCCTTTATCATACCTGGTCTGGTAGTTGACTTCTTAGAGAGTCTCTAATGAGGTGTGAAGTTACTTGGGAAAGTAACTTCCCATTTCTAGGTCTCAGTTGTCTAAATTCAATGCCAAGAGGTTTGGGTTAGAAAATGGAGAGCTCAAAAAATATTTTTAAAAATAAAAGGTCTCTTCAAGAGCAATTAGTCAGTGGCTCTTGGACTTTTATCCTTTCTGAGATCTTTAGCACAAAACTAGGGGAGGAACACATCTTCATTCCAAGAGAGAATCCAGTGATGGTGTCTTTGATGTCACCACACATGAAAACTACCTGGTGGCCAGTGCTGAGCCTGAAACTCAACACCAAAAACTTCTAGTACATAGCAACCTGTTTCACTTGGTCATGCTCTTCACTTGCATACCTCCACATGTCTAGGGATCCAGATTTCCAGGTTAAAGAACCATAAGATGATGACACCTGGATGCTACAGCAGAGCTGGCATGAATAGCCACAGGGTCTTTGACGTGCTCAAGGCTGCCTCCCTTCAGGTGACCGAGTCTTCATGTGGGTAATGCAAATTTGAAGTCACATTTCCCTCTAGTCTCTAAAGAACTTAAATTGGGCATCAAGGAGCCGTGAATGTCCTATTTCTCCTCCTCTGCATCAGCAGCTCTGAACAAACTCTCTCCCCTAGCAGCCACCTTAGTATGGCTTGGGACCCGGGACTGAATATGAGCTCAAGCAATTCTATGACTCTATGGATCTGAAATGTTATGACTGTACTTTCTGCAGTATATTAAATTACATTCTAGCTCACCTACTGATCTGAGATCTCCCTGAGCAAAGGGACCACATGCTACTCTTCTCTCAATCCCCCAACATTACGAGCTCAATAAGATTGCAATAAATGCACAAACAGTCTTGTTTTAGAAGGCCTGGATCTGAATGTTGGAGGAGCTACTTAACAGTTTGTGGAAATCTCAGTTTCCTGATCTGAACTAATTCGCCGTGGCCAGCACATAGGTCAAGCGGTTTGGCATATAATAAATGATGATCGCAGCAATCAGAGACTGTGGGAGCAGCAGGATCTGCCTTTCCCTGTCCCTTGTTTCTCCTCTACTCCCTAGGGTGTCATGGTTACCATAGCACATGAGTGGAAAATGTTAGAAGAGTAGTTGTGTGAAGAGGCTCACCAAGTAGATCTTGCCTCCTGGAAACCTCTGGAGATTTGGTAAGTGTGGTCTGGGGTTGGGTTTCCCACCCTGATGGCTCCAGTTAGTCAGTGTCACTACCCAACTCTGTCTCTGAAGCCTTACTCAGGGCCCCAAAATGCCCCTTGGGACTTCCCTTGTCTCCTTGGTGCCCTGCCCGGCTACCACGGTAACAGGCTCCAAGGTAACAAAGGAAGCAACCAGGTCCTGTTTCCTCCTAGCCCTATTGGTGTGGATTTTCAGACCATAGAGACTGAATTGCCCTGCACCTCTCCAGGTGCTTTCTGTGTTCTCACTTAAGTTGAGCTCAAACTTTCACCTCTGCCAGCAAAACCATGTGTACAAGTTTGACCACTTGTGAGTGGAAGAAAGTCTTCTATGAGAAGATGGAGGTGGCAAAGCCTGCTGATAGCTGGGAACTCATCATAGACCCCAACCTGAAGCCCAACGAGTTGGCCCCTGGCTGGAAGCAGTACCTGGAGCAGCATGCCTCAGGCAGGTGAGAAGCCCAGTGGGGAAGGCCCTGGCAGGTCATAGCCCTGGGCACTTTCTGAGAAGAGACCGGGTTGGTCCTGGGGTCAGTCTCATTTTGGTGTCGGCTCAGGTGGGGAGAGAGGTAAGGCAGAGAAAGAACTGCCAAGCGGGTCATGGAGTTCTTGGTCCTAATCCTAGTTGCACCCCTAACTCCCTGGATGACCCTGGACAAGGTATGTTCTATCATTGGATCTCAGTTTTCTATATTAAATGAAGACCTATAATCTCTTCAGTGCCCCTGCAATCTCTGACATTTGAAGAGTGGTTGAAACTAAAGAAAGAAGGCAATAAGGTCTACTGGGAAAAGTCTTAATCTAAGGTTGTGGAGTTAGAGGTGGCTATGCTCTATCCTGGACCTGTTTAGTTAATTAATTCTATTTGATTTGAATGCAAAAACATGTATAACCACCTGCCATGTACTAGAAAGTAGCTCTACTCCAAACTAGCTCTGTGAACTTGGGAAAATTTCTTTTCCTATCTTTCAATTTTTATGCTTACAGAATGAAAGGGCTGACCTTAGATGATCACTCAAGTCCATTCCAGCTCTATTATCCATGAGTCTATGATAACAAGATTTAACTTTGAGCAGAACTTCTCTTAGGTCTTTGGGACCCAAGGTTCCATGATTTATAAGAGCTGCACATCTACCACAGGGCAGGGAGTTCTTGAGGCAAAGGGGACAAGATCATCTAAAACCCACATGCCTCTTCTCCTTCTAGACCATGATTTGGGACTGGGGCCACAGAAATCCCTGCCCAAACTGTCTCAAGTCCATCTGCAGGAGCTATGCAGTCCTCTTCCTGGGCCCTTGAATTCAGGGAGGCCATTAGGTAGCTGTATTCTAGAGGTGTGATGAGAACTTGGACACAAGGACTGAGTTGTTCACGTGTGCCTGCATGTGACAGTTCTTGTGGTGCAGGATGGTGCTGAGGGTGGAAATTAGAAGGCACGCTGTGGGTAGGGAGCTTACATTTGCAATTTTATTCCAAGACCTGCAAGTATTAGAGCGAATGTGTCTTGTAACAAAAGAGGTGGAGAGAGGCAGAGTCTGGCTGGGTCATGTCAATTCAATCAACTCAAGAAGCACTTTTGGGAACCTGTTGTGTGCTAAGCACAGGCTCTGCCTCCAACTAGCTGTGTGTACATGAATGTCTCTCTTAGTCTTTGTGCCTCAGTCTCCTCTCAGTATAATGAAGGGCTAACTAGCTACTTCTTAAGTTCCCCAGTCCCCAGCTCTAATGTTTCTGAATTTAAGATTTGGGGCTTGACTTGATGGTAGGGAAGCAACCCTGGACTGTCTTGAGTGTAAAAGGTATAGGAGAAGGCTGAAGACATAAAACACTTGAGCTGGCCAGGCTCAATGGCTCAAGCCTGTCATCACAGCTCTTTGGAAGGCTGAGGTGCCTGAGCTCACTGGTTCAAGAACAGCCTGGGCAACTTGGCTAGACCTTATTTCTACAATAAACTGGGCATGGTAGCGTGTGCCTGTAGTTCTTGCTACTTGGAAGGTTGAGGTGGAAGGATCGCCTGAGCCCAGCAGGTAGACACTGGGGTGGCTGTGAGCATGCTACTGCACTCCAGCCCAGGCGATAGAGTAAGACTCCAACTCAAAAAACAAACAAACAAACAAACAAAACACTTGAGCTGGCTGGTGGGAGGACTGGAAACTTAAGTGCTGGGGCTCAGGGGTTCAGGGGTTGAGCTTGGGGGTACTGTCTCCTCTTGCCTTGGGGATCAGCCTGTCTGATCCCTAGCTGGTGACCCATGGTTTCCTGCTGGCCTCAGGCAGGGCTGCAGAACTGCTGCTCTTGAGCTCATTTTGTACACAGCTATTTCGAAGCTGTCAGACCTGGTCCAGTTCTTCTGGCTCAAGAGATGTCAGGCTCCTCTACCCTGCCAACCCTGTCTTGGGCTATTTGGGGTATTGTTCTGTGCTCATTTGAAATGGCTCCAGGGTAGGGGCTGGCCTGACTTCATCTCTATCCCACAGCCTGAGCTGATTGGTGCTTGGCATACAGTAGGTGCTGAGTGGTGTCTGTTAGATTGAATTAAGCTCCTCATGAGGGTCCTTCAAGGCCATTATACAATGATCCAGAAAGGACCAGTGATGAGGGCGGACTCAGCCCAGTAGACACTTGAGTGCCTTTGAAGCCTCTATAACAGAGGCCTTAAAGAGGTTCATCTCAGGGATGGAAGGAACTTCCCTGGAGGTACTCCATCACTAAAAGTATGCAAGCGCTGGTGGGGGTGGGGGTAGTGAGGCTTTGCTAGATGGCCCCAGGCACCTCCCTCCGTGCTACCTGAGGCTAGGGCTCTAGGGGGACCAGGTTAGACCAAATGGCCTGTGTGTGTGTGTGTGTGTGTGTGTGTGTGTGTGTGTAGGAGTGGTGGGAACAGGGACCACTATCCACTTTTCCTGCCCCCACCGCAGGGCTGAAGTAAGATCTAGAGACGACTTGCCAAAAGATCAGAGAGTGTTCTTTGTGAAGGCTTAGAGACTGAATTTGGTAGTTCCTCCTAGGGCCAGTCCACCACCCACCCACCTGTCCATCTATCCAATCATTATGGGTAGTTTACTGAGGGCTCACTGTGTGCCAGGGCCTGTGCTTGGCACAGTTACAGGTATCTCTTCTCTCCAAAACAAGCAAGACACATGAGTTAGATGGTGCAGGTCATTCCCTTATCAGGGTCACAGAGGAAGGACCCTTACTGGACACCATCACACTGCATTTCTCAGGTGAGAAATTAAGCCCAGAGAGGAGGGAAGCGACGCTGCACAGCATCCAGGCTCAAGCCCAGAGTGCACTAGGCTTGGGACCAGTAGAGATTGCAGGAGTGTGTGCAGGATGCGGGCTCCAGAGCACTGCTGGATGCCAGATGGCTCCAGCACCGGCTCCTGGGGATGCGGTTTAGGTCCCGGTGACCTCACCAGCAGGAGGAAGAGGCGGGCTGATCTTGGAGCGCTAATGATCACACAGGGTGGTAAACACTCTGCCTCCACATCCAGGCACAGGCACACGGGGTTTTTCTTTCCCAGCTCCTCAGGGCGGGCTGTCGCTGGGAGGCCCACCTTCGCCATCCCTCCTTCCCCTCGCGGCAGGTTCCACTGCTCCTGGTGCTGGCACACTTGGCAGTCTTCCCACGTGGTCATCCTCTTCCACATGTACCTGGACCGCGCCCAGCGGGCGGGATCGGTGCGCATGCGCGTCTTCAAGCAGCTGTGCTACGAGTGCGGCACGGCGCGGCTGGACGAGTCGAGCATGCTGGAGGAGAACATCGAGAGCCTGGTGGACAACCTCATCACCAGCCTCCGCGAGCAGTGCTATGACGAGGACGGCGGCCAGTACCGCATCCACGTGGCCTGCCGCCCAGACATCGGGCCGCATCGGGCCGAGTTCTGCGAGGCCTGCCAGGAGGGCATCGTGCACTGGAAGCCCAGCCAGAAGCTGCTGGAGGAGGAGGCGGCCACCCACGGCTTCTCAGAGGCTTCCAAGTCGAGGGCCCAGGCGGGTCTGGGCTACAACTTCTTCTCTCTTCGCTGGTGCCTCTTCTGGGCCTCCCTCTGCCTGCTCATCGTCTACCTGCAGTTCTCCTTCCGCGGCTCTGCCTCCCTTTAGTGGAGCTGTTTGGGGTGGGGGGAGGGCATCTGGGGTTGAGAGTGGGGAAGACACCGTCTGGTCCTGGTCCTGCTACAGATTCCGTGTACGTCTGTGGACAACCCAGTCGCCCCTCTGGGCCTATTCCGCTGCAAAATGAAGGATTTGCATGAGGAGATGTGTAATGGTCCCTCCATGAAATATAACAATAATGAAGGGTAGAGGAGAAGGATGGAATGGAGGTTTTAGAGCTCTCCAGCTTTGGTCTTAGCACTAAGTCCACTAGGAGATATCTTCTTCTTTTTCCTCCTCCACCTCCATCTTTACATCTCCCTTTCTTTCATTTCCTTATCTCATACCTTATTAGGTTAGGACCCCATTAGGCTCTTGACCCTGCCTCATTTTCAAGTTCATTGAATAGCTGCCTCTGCCCATCCTGTTAAGGTTCTCCTTGGAGAGAGCAGTGGCCCCACCCAGGGCATGGGGACTAGGTTACCTGGTCCTTCTCATGGAGGTCCTGCTCCCACCATTCTAAAACTCTCAGTTTTTAACTCTGGTGCTGGCATCTGCTTGACTGGAGCTGTCTGGGGTTGTGCTGTCCAATATGTTAGCCACTAGCCTTTTGTGGCTTTATCAATATACATTACGATGAAATAAAATTTAAAATTCAGCTCCTCAGTCACACTAGCCACATACCAAGTGCACGGTAGCCACATGTGGCTAGTGGCTAACATATTGCACCATACAGATTTAAAACATCGTTACAGAAATTTCTGTTGGATGGCTCTTGTCTAGAGCTTGACATTTCCACTTAAATGTATGTGGACTTATAATAAGAGGTGGACACATATTTAAAAGTGTAGCATGAAGCCTCTTGCAGGTAGGATGAGGTGTGGTAAAGGCAGATAAATACTGCAAATGTTACCTCTGTCCTCTTGGCTCTCAGTTGATGAGAGTCTACGGGTCCTGGTGTCATCTTTTTTCCTTGGAGTACATAGAAAGTGGGTCTGGTCAAATAAGTCTGGGAAAGAAAGCAGATCACAGTGGTAAGATGTCAATTTCTTATAGATGCAGTGTAGGGTTCAGATACCATACATTCCACAGTTGTGTCTTGAGGGCAGCACCAATTTGAGACAGAAAAATACGTCTAAAAATAGGTTGTCAAGGGAAAGGAAGGTTGAGGCAAGTGTTGGAACCCAAGGTGGATTGCCAGACAGGAGTTGGAGAACCAGGAAACGGGAAAACAGGATACAGAATAATGACTGCATAAACACTATGCCCTCAAATGTCTGCCTTACTTTTAGAGTACTAAGCTGGACCTGAATTTGTTGAGATGCACAAGGTCATAATATATTTTAGTTTAGGATGTTCCTCAGGTGGGTTTCCAAGACTATTTTTCTTTGTTAGTGTTTTCACAGGGAGTCGGTCCTAGACTTGGTTTTGACCTCACTAGTACTTTCTCTGTAAACTTTCTTGGTATCCTGTAGTGTGTGTTCAAGACTCTGGAGTGTACTAGGGATGGTAGGATACTTCTAGAAGGTCCTATGTTAGCCATCCACCTTCCTGATCTGAACATAGAGGTCCATGCCCTGGTAAGCTTGGCTTCATGATGCCTTGATCTCAGAGATGAGCCCCAGTCAGACAAGAACTTAGTGCATAGAGGCTCCAAGAATCACAGCAGAGACACAATTCTTGGCTTTTTTTTTTCTTAGAGAGCAGCAGTGCCCCCCAAAAGGCAGCTGGAAGACCTGTTGAAAATCACTGTAAGATGATAGCTCTGTGTGCATGTCTTTTTGGGACTCGGAGAGGGGATAGAAAATGGGTCTTGTCAACTGGATCTGGGACAGGAAGCAAGTCATAAGGGTGGATTACACAACATTTTAAAGCATGTACAGTAAGTCCTCTTCCTAAAAGCAGACCTTCAGATTGTGAACTTTCAAAGATGTGAACATGCATTCGCATGCCCAATCATGTAAGTTAGTTCACATGTCTGGCGTACATTGTCACATGCATGCATTCTCTACAAGTGGTTGTGCTTTTGTGTACTTTACTGTATAGAGTACAGTAGTATAGAATATTTATTTTAAGTCCATAATGTCCAGAAACAAGTGTAAAAGCAGCAGTGATGTAGCTGGTACTGTATAGCTAATTGTGTTAGTTGAATACATAGGCTAACTTTGTTAGATTTATGAACAAATTGGACTTACAAATGCTATCTCAGAATGGAACCCATTTGTATGTAAGGGACTTACTTTACATGCATTTCTGTGCTCTACAAAAATGTGTGTAGTACATGACACCATTACTTGCCAACAATGCAGGGAGTTGTTCTTCTGCCACCCTGTATGGAAATACCTCATGGCAAATTTGATAGCTGTTGTAATTCCTGAGTATGGTGAGGGAAGGGGAAGATGAGACATATCTATGGATGGGGATTTTCCAGATGAGAGTATGGCTATTTGTCTCCATTCAGAAGAGGTGATGCCAAAAGAAAGTATGAGCAGTGGACACAGACATCACCTGTCTCCCAGCACTTTCCCCCTTGGCCAGTTCGTGAGATTATCCCATTAGGGGAAATGCATTTGCTGTGCCTACTTCCTTAGACATAGCAGTGACTTGGGAAGTTTGACTTATGGGCTGGGCTCAGATGACCCTGTGTTGATTATTGTCTGGAACAGGAAACAGAAACTCACCTATTCTCACTCCTAATTGTTCCCTGACACTCACACCTTTCTATAGCCTGCGTTCAGAACCTCTGCCCCAAGCAAAGCCCGAGAACAGAAGCTGAGATTCAGGGTCAGAGTGTCTGGTTAGATGTGTTCTCAGAAAGGAGCTGCTGCTCTGGGCACTGTACCCCGCCTGCACACTGTCTATGCTGGTTGGCTTTACTCTTCTCCAGTTGGCAAGGGTTCCTGGTGGCTTGTCCAGATTCCTCTGTGGACCTGCATGAGCAAAGAACAAGACAACCTGGAATAATCTCTGTCTTTATTCAGTTGGGTGTAGCAGAAGAGGTACAGGAAGACCACCAAACTGCAACAGTTGTGAACTAGCAGACATGTGAGATTCTGCGTTCACTCCTGTCAGCTACAGAAGGTGCTCAGCTGGGCTTGTGCACAGTGTGTTTCCCCTCCAGGCCATTGCTCAACTGCAGATGCTTGGTGGCTTCTGGGAAGATGAATATCTAGAAGCCTGGGAAACAAGGTTCTCCAGAGGACTGTTTTGCCCCCTGCCTTGGTCAACCCTGGAAATCTCAAGGGACATGAAGAGACAGGATTGGGATGAAGTGGCGTCAGCAGTGTCTTTTACTGAAATATGTGGTCTGTGGGGCTAGGGATAGACTGCCAAGATTGTGTCAAGGAGGAGGTCATGTCTCAGATGATCAACAAAGCTGGGGTATCTGAGGTGAGGACTGCACATAAAGGGATGAAGAATCACTGAAAATGGAAGGGAGGGCAAGGGAGCTAGAACAGTTGAGGAGAGATGGGGTCTGGGAAGAATTCCAGAGGAGAAGCATATTCTGCTTCTCCTCTATTGGCTCATTTTCTTTTTTTTATTTCAATGGGTTTAGGGGTACAAATGATTTTTGGTTACATGGATGCATTGTATAGTGGCAAGGAAGTCTGGGTTTTAAGTATTCCCACCACCCCCACTTGTGCATATTGTACCCCACAGGTGATTTTTTAAATCTCTCCCTGCTTCTTGCCCGCCTCCTTCTGAGTCGCTAATGTCCATTATATCATTCTCTATGCCCTTGAAGATCCTTAGTTTAGTTCCCAATTATAAGTGAGAACATGTGGTGTTTGGTTTTCTGTTCCTGCATTACTTCACTTAGGATGATGGTCTCCAATTCCATCCAAGTTGCTGCAAAATTCATTATTTTATTCTTTTTTTCTGGCTGAATAGTATTCCATGGTATATACGTACTACATTTTTATTATCCACTGATCCATTGACGGGCATTTAGATTGATTCCTAATTCCCATTTCCACATCTTTGCAGTGGTGAATTGTTCTATCAGTTCATTTTCTCAGTCTATAAATAAATCTGAGATAGTATATTTCATAGTTAGCTAGACAGATTCTTCTCTGATTCCACATTCCCCTCTGACTATTGCCAGACAATTTTTTGTTTTGTGTTTTCAAAGTCGTGTTTCTCAAAGGAATAGATTGTATCTATGTCACCTCTTTATTTACTCGTTAATCTATATAAGTATCATTTTGTGACCCAACACCCATTGCCAAACCATTGGCCACTTTTCTGCCTTTATCTTACTTGATGTATCTGCTGCATCTTATCCTCCCTTCTTGAAGATTCCCCCAGTCCTTACACCTCTATCTCTTACTTCTCTTTTCTTTCCACTGCAATATTCTTTGTGGGTGCCTTTCCCTCACCCATCATGCAAGTGCTGGTGTTCCCAAGGATTCTCTTCCCATTCTGCTAATTTTCGCTTAGCCACATACCTGCTCATGACTTATATTTTCTCATTGTATGAACTCCTATGGTTCTGTGCTTCTCTAACCATTTCTGCTGAGCTCCAGGCTCACAGACCAATTGACCTGGTCTTGGGGAGTTTCCCTCAAAAGCAGCATGACCAAAGTTGGGCTCATCATTTTGCACCCAAACCTGCTCCTCTTACTTCTCAGAAATCTGAGTGTTAACCCTTGCCCTTTCTTCCTGGCCCTACCCCAACCCACACAAATTGGTCATCATGTCTCATGGCCTTCTTCCCAAGAGCTTATGGGGTTGGTCTTCTTTATTTCCTTTCCACTTATTTCTGCCCAAACACAGTCATTTGGTGTCCCTTGCCTTAATAGCCTCCTCAATAATCTTCATGCCTATAGCATCTTCGCTAAAATTCAACTTCCACTTTGCCACTGTTCCAGGGTGGTTTTCTAATCATAGATAATATCAGGGCACTCTTCTGCTTAGACTCTTCCACAGCTTCCTCCTGCCATTAGACAAAACTTAGTCTTATTAGCTAGGCATGCCTAATTTCCCAGCTAATAATAATAAACAACATT